TTCAATCGCTAAAAAATGTATTTATCTCGGTACAACTCCTATCACCATTGCGGAATTAAGAAGGATTATGGTTGAAGCTTGGCGTGTTTTCGCTGAAAGTCACCTTCATTATTGATATTATTAAAACTTTAGTCGTTTACAAATAAATTCAAATCACGAAAATAAAAATTACAACTCTCTTGAAAATAAACACAAGATTCGTTTATCGGGCACAGGAGGACGAGTACTTCTCCTTAACATCGGAGCTGGTGCGTCGGGCTTCTGCGCACCATTCTGTCCAACAGTCTCTTCTGGCTGAGGATCTTCTGCATTGGGTTCTTCCGAGAGGTTATCCGGAACATCATCTGCATCTACAAATGTTGACTCGCTCTCTGAGTCACCGTCATCTGTCTTGTGCATGTCCTTATACATCACCTTCTCGTTGAATGTCACATCTCTGCACCTGATCACATTCTTGTTTTCGTTGTCCCAAATGCGGTAGCCGAACTCGTCTTCACCATACCCGATGAATGTGCATTTCTTGGACTTGGGATCAGGCTCATTCCTGCCTTGATCACTTATATGCACATAAGCTACACAACCGAAAACTTTGAGATGTGAGAGGGTTACCTCCTTTCCGCACCATACCTCTTCTGGTATTCTGTGCTCCAATGGAACCGATGGACCTCGGTTGATCAAGTAAGCTGCTGTGTTGACTGCTTCTGCCCAGAACTGCTTCGGTAGACCTGACTGCATCCGAATGCTTCTGGCTCTCTCTGTCAACGTTCTATTCATGCGCTCAGCCACACCATTGTGCTGAGGCGTGCCGGGCACGGTCCTCTCCATTCTGATACCGTGCTCATAGCAGAACTTCTTGAATCTGGTGTCTTCATACTCACCACCATTGTCTGTTCTGAGTTTCTTTACCCTCAAACCGGTCTCATTCTCGACCATGGCTTTCCATCTTCTGAAAGCCTCAAACACTTCTGACTTTTTCTTCAGAAAGTAGACCCATACTTTCCGAGAGTGATCATCAATAAAAGTCACGAAGTAGTGTTTCCCACCAATCGACGCGGTGGTTGTTGGTCCCCAAACATCTGAGTGAACAAGCTCTAGCTTCTGCTTCCTGGGGGGTCTGCTACTTGCCTGAAAGCTAACTCTCTTCTGCTTTTCAAGTATGCATTCTTCACACACATCAATCTCTACTGATTGTAAACCTGGGAGTTTTCTCTTTGTGTGCATAACCTTCATCCCCTTTTCACTCATATGACCGAGTCTCTGGTGCCACAGCTTTGAAGTCTCATTGCCTGCCGCAACTGAGATCGAACAACGTGCACCTGCTGTCATATACAGGGTACCAGTCTTCCTGCCTTTGGCAATCATCATTGCGCCCTTCGAAATCCTCCAGTCATCGCCATGGAAAGTCATCGTGTAGCCTTCACTAGCCAGCTGGCTTACTGAGATTAAGTTCCTCTTCAGGTCGGGAATATACCTGACATCCTTCAGCTCCCATACTGACCCATTCAGCTTAATCTTCACTACACCTTTGCCAATAATGGCACATGCTTGATCGTCACCAAGATATACATTTCCAAGGTTTCCGGGGATATACTTCTCGAGGAATCCTTTCTGAGAAGTAGCATGAAATGATGCTCCCGAGTCCAACACCCAAGACTCCTCCTTGCTCTCCAAAGAGCATATCAGCGCATCATCTCCTCCTGAGGTGGAAGCAACGTTCACATCTGCATTTGCCTCCCACTCCTCCCGTGCACTCCTGCACTGATTCTTGTAGTGCCCGGTTTTCCCGCACTTCCAACACTTGATAGCCTTCGAACTGTTGGGATTTCTGGATTTGGATCTCCTATCATCTGATCCATTTCCTCTGGTTGAACTTTTACCTCTTGACTCTGTATGCAATACCGAAGAGGTTGTAGCTTCACCCGACTCTCCCCGTCGGATCTCCTCACTGAGAACCAGATCACGAACGTCGTCAAACTTCAACTTATTACTTTCCGATGAGCTACTCACAGCTGTGACCGTAGCGTTCCAACTCTCTGGTAGAGAAGACAAAAGGATCAACGCTCGAACTTCCTCATCAAACTCAATATCAACTGAACTCAATTGGGTCGTGACTGTATTGAGTTCATTGAGATGATGTGCTACCGATGCACCTTCCGCCATTCGCAGATTGAACAACCGCCTCATCAAATGGACTTTATTTGAGGCTGATGGCTTCTCATACATATTGGAGAGTGCTGCCATAAGATCTGCCGTGGTCTTCTCCTTTGCAATGTTAAAAGCAACATTGCGGGTTAACGTCAAACGAATAACCCCGAGGGCTTTTCTGTCCAGAAGATTCCAATCTTCTTCCTTCATACCCTCCGGCTTCTTCCCCGAGAGAGGTTGATACAGATTTTTCTGATACAGATAATCCTCTATCTGCATTTTCCAGAATCCGAAATCTGATCCATCAAACTTCTCTATTCTCACCTTTCCCTCATCTGCGGCCATGGCTCCCACTTGAATCTGACTTCCTCTAGATCGTTTCACGCTCTGATACCAGTTGTTGGGAATTTAAACGCCTAAACCCCTAATGCAACAGAAACGCAGTATAGAGAAAAGTACACCAAGTTTTAACGAGGTTCGGCAACTGCCTACGTCCTCGGGAGCCACACAGTCAATTTCTTATTTAATCTAACAAGAAATTACAAATCAAGAGCAAATCTCTAAACTGAGATTTCTCAGATTAAACACTGTAGCTACAGTGTTAATAATCAAAGTGATGAACCCTTTCAATTCTCACTTGAAATAATTACCCCACAATTAAAACCGCTCTTTATTTCTCTCTCTCTCTCTTAATCCAGCCTTCAATCACTGTTGGAGTGGGATTAAGAAACAAATCGCAGCAGCGATTTTAGGGCAGCGCCCAGAAGAAAAAGTCGGAGGAGAGGGGGAAGCTTCAGCAGAAACCCTAGGTCGACGGGGGAGGGGTTTTATAGACGGAAATGACAGGCTGGCGACAGCCTGTCGCCAGCCACGCGAGCGTCCTTCTTTGACGCCAAGTTCGCAGGCCCCGAACGCAGAGGTCGGACCCCCCCCCAAACGCAGAGCTCGCCATCGCCAAACGCAGAGCTCGCCATCGCCAAACGCGGAGCTCGAGCTCGTCTGCGACCATCGAATCTCGCCTGGGCTACGCCTGCGTCGACATCGAGCTCGTCGGAGCTCGTCGCCGGAGGAGGTTTGTTTCCACCCCCAATTCTAACAATGAGGTGGCTGTACACTTCCCTGATGTGGATGAGGCTTTTGGTTCGGAGATGGAAGTTGATGTCCAAACATTCTGTTCTTAGTAACCCTACTATTGTTAAATGGGAGCTACCGATGAGGGATGGTACAAGCTGAACTTTGATAATTCCAGTTGATTTTCAATCGCTAAAAAATGTATTTATCTCGGTACAACTCCTATCACCATTGCGGAATTAAGAAGGATTATGGTTGAAGCTTGGCGTGTTTTCGCTGAAAGTCACCTTCATTATTGATATTATTAAAACTTTAGTCGTTTACAAATAAATTCAAATCACGAAAATAAAAATTACAACTCTCTTGAAAATAAACACAAGATTCGTTTATCGTCTCTTGCTTGCGCGCCGGTGCCGGGGTTTATCCGTGGAGGACCGCGGATTAGATCCAGTTGACGAAAAATTGACGGAGCTCCCACCTCACCAAGGGGGTATTTGCTTGAAGCGCTGAAATCGACCAAGCAAAATCAGTAGCTCTTCTCGAGATTAAGACCAAGGCTAATCTCAAGGAACGGACAGGGGAATACGGCTTCAGATCCTTCGAAAGCCTTTCTCTTTATGCTGAAGTTCGTCGGGATCTTACTTGCCCTCTGAAATTCGTGCTCCACTCTCCAATTCGGCAGCGTTTCGCCCTCTTGATGTCCGCCCCCGTGAATTGAGTCCCTAGACCTGTATTTATAGACTTCGGTTGGGGGGTTTTCCGATAAGAATGATGGATTTGGTCATATCTTCAGTTAATAACGGTCTAACCATGTTTGTAAATGATATTTAGGCAGTTAGGAACCCCTGGAACAGATAAATCCCGAGAAAACCGTTCAAACCCGTCGAAAACGCGTCAGGGGGTCAAAACAGCGCGACGGGCGCTGCTGACCCGCGGGGGGGGGCCGCGGGTCGGACTTGGCCGACCCGCGCGGGCACGGGTAGTTTGGCCTTTTGCTGAACTTTGTGTTTTCTGACTTTTCCGGGACTTGTATTCTCCACCAGTTTGCGTATTTATCCGTCGTGTTGACTTGTACACTCCACACAAGCTGATTGACGCGCGCATGCTGACCGACGTGCGCGTGTTGACCGACGATTGCGTTCGGTTGCTTTGAGTTGATCGACGCGTGCGTGCTGATTGACGTGCGCGCGTTGACTGATGTGCGCATCGCCCAATTGGATAATCTTTCTTGACGTGTCCACTCTTCATTTCGAGCTGCGTGCAGGACCTTGTAGGCAATTTTAGATGCCTACATGGTGAGATTCATTCTATACTATCTGATGGAGAGTTGTGGGAGGAGGGAGACTCTAGAGTTGTTATTCGGGCGATCACTAGAGGCATTGAGCTCAACATCGCCATGAGTTTGATAGAAGACGTGCGCGTCATAATGCTGAATTCTTTGACTAAAATTTCTCACATCTCCAGAGAAGGAAATAGGACTCCAAATTTTGTAGCGCATTCAACTAGGATCAAGCAGAAGTCTTTTTCCTTGGCGGATGACATGCCAAGAGAACTTGGTGAGATCCAACGGGTTGCATTGGGTTAGATAACATCCTAAGGGGTTGAGTTTGTGAGGTAGTTGACCTACGTCTGTAATTTACAAAAAGCTGCATATTATTCTTTTATCATAATAAAAATCCTCATAAATTAGTTCTCCGATGATTGTTAAATTTGATCACAGCTTAGGTGTTCAGTCAAGACTCTTTCATGCTAGACAACACTCAAGAAAGAAAGCCGTTCTCCTCTTAAGAAAAAAAAAGAAAAATAAATAAATAAATAAATGAATCCATCCCCCACTTCAACAATTATCCCTCCACGGAAAAAGGCAGCGAGATACAGCATGTTTTTCAGCTGCCACTATTAATTAAGAGACGCTACCCTGTATGAACATTATCAGCAAACAATTTGGCTAAAAGACGTATATATCTCAAGGGGACAAAAATCCATCAAATCATATATATTCAGTTCTGACGAGAGTTATGATATCAAGCCGAGCTCCTGATTTCATTTGAACTTCAGACAATTTCTCACCGCGAGTAGGACTTCATTAGCAGGGAGAATTGTGGGGCAAAACCAATAAATATTTCTTCCCTTGAATCTGATGTAATCTGCAACCAAAAAAAGCGCCTTAATATAACGTAAGTGAAATCATGAATAAAAGTAGTCATAGTATGACATGCTTACTTGAAATTATGCTCTCTGGCTATCTGCTTTTCTTTTTGCCATACTGGAAATATGTAGACCATATTTACTTGAAATTATGTGTTGGCACACTCAAGTAGAATTTAGTGTTCTTGAAATCATCTAGTAGTGGGTTATACCCATCTTTAGTCCTTGTTTTTGATGGCAAACCAAATTCCTCCATAAAGGCACCTGTGTCAAGCTAGAAGGAAAAGGAAAACTGATTGTCAATTTTAATAGTGAAAAATACCAAACAAGAAATCTTAAAGAAGGATAAGCAAAGTAGTTCATTCCTTAAAAACTAATTTGCACAGCTTACTGTTATAGTTCTTCGCTTCTTCACAGGCTTAGATGACGTCGATCCTTTCATCTCATTTGACCATCCAGAGCAGTGATGATCCATTCGCTCCAAGAGCCAGAAGTCTGTTGGGAAGAATATATCAGCATCACCCTGCAACATCCAACAAGTTTTCTAAGATTAGTTGATCTACAGACGCGGGGCCAATACTCAAACAATATGTGACCCATGCATATAGCTCAACATTAAATTCATGACGCAGATACTTTCTTTTCTACAAAAGTGGTTTAATGCTTAAGACCGCTATTTTCACGTGGTCAATATGGCTGGAATGATTAAGTTCTACATGTTACCATATGCATGTGCATTCTCTCAGAAGGATGAACTTGGTTGGTATAAGAAAATGCATACCTTTGCATCGAGATAGCTGCTATGGTCAACAGTTCTGCCATCTTTCTGTTGGGGGAAAAGTGATGGTTAGCACTTCGGAAATTTCTTTAGGAAGGACACGCGATAAGTAAATACTTAATAGCAGTCATTAAGAACTCATATTTGCTGAGTCATATGCACAAGTTACACGCACGACAGGTGCTCTAAACTGTATCAACATCTCTATGATGGAGCGTGTAAAATCATCGACCCCCATCACGAAAATAAAGTAATAAACAGTATGTATAGTCAAAATTTAACTTGAATTCTACACCTGAATCAAAATCAGCTGAAGGCTGAAAAAACAGAATTGCAGTTTCAATTTCTTCTTTGCTGCCCACCTAAGTTGGTAATTTTGAACTAGTAAAAAACTATGTTTAGCATGAACATATTCTCAACGGTGAACGTATTATATCATAGATATCTTACTAGAGCAAAATTTCTCTCTTCTTGTTTGTTAGAGTTTAAACATCTCATTGACAGAATCTAAGGCCTACAGGCCTTCAATCCATGAGTACGAAGGTGCTATTAAGGCCTGTTTTGTACCAAGACTAGCCCATGTATCCATATAAAAAACAAGAAATCCATATATTTATGGTCAGAGTATTAGTTCATAACTTAATTTTGTTGGGTGCATTTTACTATTCTTTAATGTTACACTTGTCCAATGATTTTTAGTTTGGTTACATGTAGGTGACATTCTTAGACCTTTTCCTTTACATGTTAGTGCTGACAGGCTAACATAAATAGTGCATTGTCTCCAGCAACCATTAAAATTTTCATATAATGGTTCTAGGTTCTTTTATTTGGTTAGGCATAATTATTGTTTCATAACATCAGCAAGCTTTTGCAGCGGTGTTGGTTTGTTATTAAAAAGATTACCTTAGTTGAAACAAGAGGAGCTCTGTCACCAGCTATTTTGATATCAGGAAGGTAGCTAAAATCAGAAGCAATAAGAGACATCTTCGGGAGAGCCCAATGCAGAACCTCTAATAATTGCTGCATCATCAGAACACAAGCAACTTTACAGAGCATTTCTTACCTGATGGAAAGGAAGTGCAATCAAAGAGCTAACTGAACAAACTATTCTGAAAGTTTCACTTACCAGGCAGCCTGTAGGCAACCATACTCTTTGAGGCTTTGGAAATACTTTCGACCACATGCTTCTTGCAGTTGAAATTAGTATGTTTTCATTTGCAAGCTCTTTATCCATGCCAATAATCTTGATGCACTGATCAATCTGTTTATCTTCTATCGGTTTATAGACCTCAGAGATTTGTGAACTTCCTTGTAGAAGGACAAATGTGGAAGTCAAGAAAATGATAGATAATACTACTATACTAGTATAGGCTTCTGAGAATTCACAGGACATCAGCATCAGACAAGTAGGTGATAAGTTGCAGAAACATTATACTGAATCATGTTTAAAAAGCGGAAGTGAGGGGAAGCTTTGACCCCCCTGGAGGCAAGGCCCTATGCCTCAAGAACACTAATATTTATTAAAGTTTAAAAAAATACTATATATCAACAAAAGTGAAAGGTAAATAATTTTGTAATTTATGCACATATAAAAAACTTTAGTTTGCAAAAGATTCATGCATTTAATTTAATTTTATAGGTCTGAGACATTGTACCATGCCAGGATGATCAGCAAAATATTTGAGAGGTGTGCTAGAAGAGTAGTCCAAACTAACTTGAGGAGAGAGTTGCTATTGGAACTTCTCTTTTTTATTTATTTTTTATTTTATTTTTTTGTTATTGATCAAATATAAACAAGGTTATTGATAGCGGATAGCGTCGTATAGCGGTGAAGCATCACTAAGGCTATTTTGGGCTATTGCGACAAAATAGCGGTAAAAAGTATAAAGTCAAACAACAATCTAATTTAGATATGTATAAATATTAAAAAATTATAGAAAAATCTAGAAAATCTAAAAGTGCATATTTGACGATTTAAAGAGATCCTAAACATAAAATAGACATGTAACTGTCATATAATACGAAGATGACTAGAGAAGGAGTCAAAGAGTCGTCGTCTTCGAGAAGATGAGCTGAGCAGTGAGAGGACTGCAGTAGGAGGAGTTCACGGCCAGAGGAGGTGAGAGGAAGTGCTGAGGGAGGTGCCGGAGGCTATGAGAGGCAGCGGGAATACGCTAGAAACCGCAGGAGGCGGTGGGATGCAGTGGTTGCGGGAAAGTGGATTTTGCCCGCAGTTGTTTGTTATTTGCCGCTATGACGCACTATTGGCCGCTTTTGTGAGCGGAAAGCGCATATTCCGTAGTATGTCACCGCTATTGAGTGAAAACGTAGCGGGAAGGGCCCGCTAATGCTATTAACGCCGCTATTGCGGCGCTATTTACTGCTATTTATAACAGTGAATATAAAGGTTGGAACACATTATGATTTGGAAGATTGGGCATTTTTTAAACTGCATTACGGTCGGTGAATGGAAAATATGCAATTCCACATGTTTCTCCAAACAAAAGAGAGAAGCGTGTGGCAATAAGGTGAAGCAGGGTAAAGTAAAATATTCTGTAATAAAATCAATTTGCATAACATAAAGGGGGTAAGCCTGGTTTGAAGGGGCTTCTATACCGCTGTGATTAATTCAGTAGTCCACTGCAATCCTTCCTAATAAGATATGCCACCCTCTCTGCATTCTGAGGTGGCCCCCTTATCTTTAATTGTAACGGTGGCAAATAAACAGTTGAAAGGGAAAGACATTATCCCTCTATTAGAACATAAATATTATAACCCTCAAACCTCACTACAACTTCAGAGTTTTGGTGCAGTTGAAGAGACCTTTAACAAAAAAAATAGAACACCTGCGCATAGGACTATTTATTTGGAAACAAAATAAAAAGTTTAAGTAATTCTTATATTATGATTAAATTTCAGTGCCTTTCATTTTTGGCTGCCATTAATATCTAAGCATCACCGTATCTCCGTGCTATTTGTGTGACCAGCAGGATGTTCATACTACCCAATTCTAAGCATGATAATCTTCAATAAAAGAAATTTGGAGAAAAATAGAGCATGCATTTGACAAATGATTGAAAATAAACGAAAAACTATTGATGAAAAGGGGGAAAACTTATATATACAGGGACAAATTTGAAGTGTTAACCTGTTCTGTGCTTTTTCAAGCCAAACCTCCATCCATGGAGACCCTTGATTTAGAGAATATACAATATCATGCGGAAGATTGTCAAGTACCTAAGCATTAAGAGTTCACAAATAAATAAAAGTGGAAAGCATATCAAGAGATAAATAATGCAACAAATATAATTTGTCACAATTACTAGCATCGCTAGATGTTTCTTTTACGTGTCTCTCTAAATAAATATCATCAACCAAGCCCTTTATGAGGAGTGGGCCAATGTGGAAACACACTGGTAAAGCAGGACCATCATGAGGATTATTGATTTTATGTTCTCTCAGCATTACAATCTACTTTTAATTGTTGAACTTGATGATTTCTTGATTACAGGTTTACCGAAATGACAGTACGGCATTCCATAACCCTAAATTATTTAGACTTAACATAAAAACAAAATACAAAATTTAAAATTTTAACTTTGAAGAATACACAGAGGATTATAATCTCAAATCCTTTTGATACCATAAAAACTGCCAGAGTATTGTAAAAGATAAGGACAAATGCAAACGAGATACGGGCCAAACTGTCATCAGATCAGTGCACCATACAAAATAAGATCTGAATTGGCCAGCTAAATTAACAAACTAAATAAATGACCAACTTCTAGGAATGGTAGAAAAGTTGTTATCCCGATACTTCGTTTTGGGTGCCGTATTCGTATCCCACATGCGTCAGATACGGATACAACGTGGACACTGTATGGACACGTGTTACAAAGCAAAAGCAGATTTTCCCATTACATGTAACCCTACACTGGTTTCTTTGGTATATCAGGCTTAAAACGAAGAGTTTTCAAGCCGAAAAACAAAAGCCATCAATTAAAGATTTGAAAAATTCCCATAGTACCCATGCAATCAAAGTTAAACCCAATTCTACCTTTTCTTTCCCCTTCCCATTTTATCTTCTTTGAGTTCTTCCATAGTATCCCATGCAATCAAAATTAAACCCAATCCTACCTTTTCTTCTCCCTTCCCTCTTTATCTTCTTCGAATCCAGAAAGGGAATGAAGGTCTCTACTCCCAGTTGTGCGCTCAACGACCACAGAAAATCTTAATTCTTTGTTTGACTTAACTTAATTCTTAGCTACATAATAAAAGAAAATACAAATGTAATAGGTATTTTAATTTATTTGATCTAATGTAAATTATAAATATATTGCATTGTCCCCTTATCCTACCTTTTTACAAATCTGCCATGTCCCGGGTCTCCAATTGCACCCGCACCCGCACCCGAATCTGTGCAACCCAGTAGAAAAGCTTCTATGGATACAATGCCACTAGATTAATGGTATGATCCGTGATATGGATATGGAAATGTGGTACTCTACTTTGAACAGTAATCAGTACCAAGGAAGTAGGCATAATGGACTCAGAATTCTGGGTCATGGTACCTAGGAAATTTTGGTCATTTCAATAATGATGCATGTATGTATGCGTATGACAGAAAGAAGACACATATAAGTTTGAAGGTTAATAAAACTGAGGATCATGAACTAGAAGCTTTCATCTTTTTCAGAATATAGAAAGCAAACACTTTCAGTTAGAAAAACATTACTGCAATAACTAATCAAAGTCAATCTCTGATTTTTGAAAGCAGACGCTCCACTGACTATTTATGTTATGTAAGAAACTAGATTTGACAGTTGAGACTCTTGACTCTTCAAATTGAAAGATAAAACGCGAAATTTCTTTTCAAAAAGCTGTTTCTAGCATGATTTCACAGAACTGAGAAATAATAATAATGTACCTCAAGCATTATAACCCAACATGGCTCAGGCTGCACATCCCCTGCATAAATTGAAATAACAATCGATACTAGAGTTTATGATGAAAAACCAACATATATTCAACTTGTTGATTGAAGGAAATTACGTAGATCAATAACAAAATTATGAGCAGTTGAAGGAGAAGATTGGGATGCTTGGAAGAGCTTACCCCATCCTTTTTTGTGAGTTGCATCACGACATTCTACACTGAACCTAGATGAATGACTCTGGACTTCCCCAACAGTTTCCAGCTGCCTTTTGGCAAGAGAAGGACTAATTTCCACTGAACTATGGGTGAGAAAAGATCACAGTTAGTACTTCACACAAAATATCTTCCACTGATCTCATGTAATAAGAGGGAAAACTGAAAGGTTCGTGTCACGCCCCAGGCTCGCCATCCCATGGACGCGATGTAAGCCCAGGGGCACATCGTTTGGCTCAATCTATTGCCAATGTTCTACTTGACTCCTTGGACTTACGTTATAAACCATTCAATCACTCAATTAATATCCAATGTGGGACTAAATTTTGGGGTATCACAATCACTCCACCTTAATTATGCGACGTTCTCATCGCGACATGACAATTGGTTCGTCCGAGTATCATCACCATGCAATGTGGACTCTAGAGGTGGCTCCAATGGGTTTCTAGATGTGGCTCCCACCGCACTCACGCAATATAGTATTTGATCCCGCATAGCACTTAACTCCATATTTCTGGCTAGCTAACTGATCTAATACCATTTGTCACACCTAGGACCCGCGGGCCCATTGGCAAGATGTATCCCCTAGGAGCCACGAGGTGCAACATATGTTTTAGCTCAATTCACTGCCAAAATCGACTAGCCAATATTGCACTTGACTCCTTGGACTAACATTATAAACCATTCAATCACCTAATCAATATATGATGTAGGATTAAATATTAGGGTATCACAACCACCCCACATAAACCATTCAATCACCTAATCAATATATGATGTAGGATTAAATATTAGGGTATCACAACCACCCCACCTTAATTACGTGACATCCTCGTCGCGACATGACAATTGGGTCGTTTCAGTATCACCACCAGGCAATGTGGACTTAGAGGTGGCTTCTATGAGCTTCTAAAGGTAGTTCCTACCATACTCACACGCTGTAGTACTTAGTGCCGCATAACACTAAGCTCCCCAGTATCACCACCAGACGATGTGGACTCTAGAAGTGGCTTTGATGAGGACATCCAGATACGTGCATGTGACTTTCGTCGTGTTTATCAGCGTAGGAGACATCGCGTTTCAGCATTGTGGTTTTGATTTTCAGTTAGTAGTATTTCAATTGTAATAGTTATTTGAATTTTGAATTTTAGTTTTGGTTTGGTAGTTAAACAGTTTTAGTAACTGGTTGATTGTGATTGATTGTGAGAGATTTTTGTGAGATTTTGAAAATCTGTAATTTTCTCTATTTAAGGGACTGATGTAATCAAATGAATTATTGAAGATTGAATGGAAAACTATTCTTGTTAGCCTAACTAATTTGTGTGAAACCCTAGGCTAATATTGATCGTTTTCTTTTTTTTCTCCAGCCGACAAAATATCTTCCTTCTTACCCCACGTAAACACCCCCCCCCCAGACCGAGACCCATCTCTCTTCCTTTAACCTCCGTCCACCGTCCAACTCACCAATCCAGAAAACTTTCAGCGCCATACCTCTTCCCAAACAGCCAACGCCTGACCACCAGCAATGCTCTTCCGCAATCCGCCTAGCATCAGCGCCTCCCAGGCCTCCCTCCAAATTCGATCACCTCAGCCGCGATCGCCCCTCCGCCGGCGCCCTCCTGCGCCCGTTCGTCAGTCAACCTCCACAACCATGACGCCAGCTCCTCTCTGCTCTCCTCAAGCCCTGCGACAGCCATCGACCACCCGCCCCCTCTCCCTTTTCATTTGTCGTCAGCCCCCTGCTCTCTTCCTTTCCGGACCACACCCCTTCTCCTCCTGTCGCGCCTCAATTCCTCCTTCCCCGACAACCTTCAACTTCATTTCCAGCAGCGCCCATCCTCGCTTTCCCCTATCCTAAGCAGCCCCTGAAACCCTGATCCCCACCATCTCCGAGCGCCTCCAGCCACATCCTTTGCCTGAGCCCGCCACCTTTCAAGCAGCCCGACACCCAACTCCCCTCACTTGCTCTCCTCTCTGACGAGCAGCCCCGTCAACACCGACTCGAGTCTGGTCCTACGGCCTGTTGGTGTATGACCGATCCTGAAGCTGAAGACGCTCAGTTCGTGTATGATCCAGAGACCGGCGTAGTTGATTTACAGCTCTCAGTGGTTCGATTATCAGTTGTTCGAGACTGTAGCCGTATACATTGAGCGTGTGGCTCCTCAGATTGCCGAGAGCGTGGAGAGTTGTTTGGGGATTAGCTCGTAGCATCGACGTTTCTATCCAGACACGCCGATTCATCCCAGTTACGTAGCTCTCGGAGGAGAACTGCCACTCAGATTTGGTGTCGCTACACCGCCTCCAGAGGTCCCTCACGTCGAACTAGTTCAGCCCGATGAAGATTTAGTTTTCTTTCGACCCAGTATTTTCGAAACCGCTATTGCGTGCATGTTACTATCAATATTAATATCAATTACGATTGTGCTATATTCTATTTGATTTAGTGAGCGAGTGATTCCGTTGCCAAGTATATCTGCAAATCTATATATTACGAGTCGAACTTTATTAAGAGAAAAAATCATTACATTTATTATCTGAATAATTTACAAAGGTCCAAACTTAGTACATTTGTAACTTTTGTTCAAAAACCATCTGGAGCTTCATTTTATTCTCGAGCTTCCTGCCTAGATAGATCACTGATTTGGTGAAGCATTGTTGTCTCTATTCTCCATATCTGCATACACATTTCACATCAGGCTCTTACTGCACTCACGTAATGTAACACTTAGTCCTGCTTAGCACTTAGCTTCACATTTTCGGTTGGCTGACTGCTCTGATACCATTTGTTAAGCCCCGGTTCTCAGAACTCGTTGGCATGATGCAAGCCCTGGGACCCACAAAATGCAACACGTGGTTTGGCTCGAGACTAGTCAATTTTGACAGTGGATTGAGCCAAACCACATGTTGCACTTGATGGGTCCCACGGCTTACATAGCTCGCCTCGCGAGTTCGGAGCGTGACAGTTCGTTATTGCTAAAATATAGACAACGTAAACTGAGGAAACCATGCAAGTCAATATTGAAACCATGATAAATTTGAAAGTTGTAAGATGACAGCCAACCATGAATTGGGTGATAGGCTTGTACAATAAGCTTTTGTCAATTCCATTACTGAGAAACATTATAATAGCAATGTTCAACATCAACATGTGGTTTTAATACAGATCATCTCCTAATCTCTAAGGATTTATTTGGCGTAAATATCTAAGAATGACACTACCAAGGGCTCCACTAGTAGATGATGACTGTTGACTTGGTGTCCCCGTGTTTGTAGATGTCAAACACTGATGTTAGTATGAGATACATTATTACCTAACAACCCGAAAGCTTAAACTTTAGGGTAAGATGGTCCTTGACATGATATCACAGTACACCAGGTGTTATGGAATTCTAAGTCCATCCTTATCAAATATAAAATATATTTATTCACTCGTCTTGTGTCTTTCCGTGAGGTCTACAACGTCCTGCGTTATAGACCTTTCCAGTTATTAATATGCAATGAGGGGCTCAAAGTTCATTTACACGCACCCGTACAAGGCACAATATGATGCATGCACCTGAGTGAAGCAAGGCGGAGGCACACAACACACATAATTTTTCAAGACAGATAATCAAGCATGATAAAGAACATGTTCATGAATATTCACATAAAAAACATCAAAGATAAAAAATATCTATTACTAATCACAAAATATGGTCTTAATTCATAAGCTAGCACACCCAACATATTGTTGAAGTTCATAATTTTCCAAATCAAAAGTTAAATCAAGAGTAATATCAAAGAAAATTCAAATACTAAGTGAGAACGAGTTAGGGTCCTCAATCAGGTTACTAAAATGCATAATGGATTTATTTTTCTGGATATGGATTATGGGGTATAATGACCCAACTGAAATGTTATAGAACAAAAATATAAGGCTATATGACTGTTATAAATAGCGGTAAATAGCCCCGCAATAGCGACGCTAATAGCGTTAGCGGTTCCTTCCCGCGACGCTATCGTCCGCTACGCTATCGCACAATAGCGGTGACATATTGCGCAATGTGTCTGTTCGCAAAAGCGGCTAATAGTGTGTCATAACAGTAAATAGTGAGCGATTGTATTCGAAATTTGCTTTTTGACTGCTATTTAAAAACGGTTTGAGGCTTATTTTTTAAAATTAAACTCAACTCTTGACCATTGCATTCCACCGTCTCCTGTGATTTTCAGCATACTCTCGCCATCTCTCATCCTCTGGCACCTACCTTGATACTTCCTCTCACCTTCTTCACCGTGAGCTCCTCTTAGGGCAGTCCTGTCACCGCTAAACTATTCTTCTCGAAGACGATGACTTTTTGACTGCTCCAGTCATCTTCGGTATTACGTGATGGTTACATGTCTATTTCATGTTTAGGATCTCTTTAAATCATCTAATATGTACTTTTAGATTTTTTAGATTTTTTTTTAATTTTTTTAGTATTTATACATATCTAAATTAGACCGCTATTTGACTTTGCGCTTTTTACCGCTATTTTGCCGCAATAGCCCGAAATAGCCTTAGCGATGCCTCACCGCTACGCGACGCTATCCGCTATCGATAACCTAGGCTATATCTTGCACGCGTCCTGTGCAAAGCACCCTCGGACAGGGTGCTCATATAGCGCTTGCGAGGCGCAAAAAGGCACTACCACTTCAGATGTAGAGTGCTTCGCCACCGCCCCACATCGTAGGGCGCAATGAGATGCGTGCCTTAATCCACATGGAGGCATGGCCCACAAATTCCAACATGAAGGAGAATGTTAACTTGATATAAAATTTAAACTAACAATCCAGAAGCTTAAACTTTTGGGTGAAGTATTTTCTGACAAGGGATCTAGAGAAGGCATTGATTTGCCAATATAAAAAAATTTCATACACCAGCTCCAAAAAAATTATATGTATGATGGACCATCCTGATGGATGATTTGGACCATTTGTTATGATTTTCATGTCTTAACTAATAAATAGATCACAAAATCATTTTGATTTTAGTACAAATTTTCCTATTTATCAACCGACCTTGTATGATCCTCTAATGAAGTACCATTAACTTTTCAGCCAAGGTGAA